ATTTATTTTTTTTCTAATAGTTGAAGTCCTTATTTATCTAATAGTGAACTTTTAACTATACCTTACCGTGCAAATTTTTGAGATTTTTTTTTTAAATGTACATACAGTGTCTTAAGAAAAAGTAAGACCTCAATAACAATTCTCGAATTATACTATTATTTATTGATTAGATGGAGTAGAAAAAATCTAAAAATAAGGTTTTTGAAATATTTAGGTTCTGTTTTTTACAATAAAATATATAGGTTACCGTGGAATTTATTGAGAAATTAATATTAAAAAAAAATTTCAAGTTACCTAGTTGAAATTTTTTTGTGATTTTTTAATATTAATTTCTCAATAAATTCCACGGTAACCTATATATTTTATTGTAAAAAACAAAACCTAAATATTTCAAAAACCTTATTTTTAGTATTTTTCTACTCCATCTAATCAATAAATAATAGTATACTTAATTATAATTCGAAAATTGTTAATGAAGTCTTACTTTCTCGTAGGACACTGTACAAATACTGACATTTTTAAAATTCTTTTTTCTCAAAAATTTGCACGGTAAGGTATAGTTAAAAGTTCACTATTAGATAAATAAGGACTTCAACTATTAGAAAAAAATTAATTTTAGTCATAATCTAATATTTTTTATTTAACATTGGTGGCAAAAGGACCTCCTTAAAGTAGAAATTTCAAAATAAATTTGGAATTATTTGTTCTTTAATTTTCTTGAATGGTGTTTAGTGACTTATCTTGTATAGGTGCATCCATAACAAAATTGTTTTTTTATTCGCATATTATATATTATATTAAAATCAATGCATTTGGAGCAGATACCTTTAATTAATAAGTCAATTAACACAAAATGACTAGGTATCTCATATATTTATTTAAAAATCGTCATAAAAACTTCTTATACTCATTTTCAGAAATGGATATTGTTCTGATAGAGTTAGAACTTGTTGATTCAATTAATGTGTCTATGACAATATTCATACACTTAGTTAATAGTTATGTCACGGAAACCAGCATTTTAATTTAAATAAGAGGCTATACATTCCAAATTTTTTCGACTCTAATTTAAACCACTCTAAAAATTATTCTCACTCAAACGGCTAAACGATAAATAATGATTTCGCCCACAACGACATTTATAAACAATAGTTTTACTCACTCTATTTCGCAAGCTACATATGCAGTATATTCAAAAGATTTAACTTTCTATACAATGCACAAAATATCGCTTTGTTAGTTAATCTCAAAAATGTAAGCTGGCGTTTGGCGACGAGCTACGATTGTAAAACAAGTCGCCACGAGACCAATAATAGAATTGCATAGAATTGTATCCTTTTGTTGCACGAGTGCAGTGGGGAATTTAGCTGTTTACTGTATTCTTCGTTCGGAGACGATAAATGTATCCCCGGCAATAAAGAATTTGTTAGGAATTCTTTCTCGTGAACATTCTCTGTTCAATGTACATAAAGGTATTTGGTATAAGCAAGTGAAAGTATGACTCGAAGCGTCGCTTAATTACTTGTGACACAGGTCCAAAATTCCAAATGAATCTTTTACAAACCATATTACAAAATTATACACAACTCTTATAGCAAATAGCGCTAACTAACGACGATTATAAATTAATTTAAAATACTACACAATCTTCAAAAGGCCTTATATTTTATATACCTGCTTTTTTATGAAAGAAATGGCCTTAGTTTTCAGTCACAAGAAGATTTATATGAGCTGAACTCTAGTTTAGAATGAAACAACCATCTTATATTTTCAGTGCAATTATTGAGGTACATGTTTTTCATAAAACTATCTGAAAAGGAGATAGTCAAAAATATTGAGCAGTTAATTATACGTGGAGTTGGGTGAACAGAAAAGAGAAGCACTTAAATAAAATCACCATGGGATATAAAAGAAGCAGAAGAAGAAGCAGAAGAAGAAGAAGAAGAAGAAGAAGAAGAAGAAGAAGAAGAAGAAGAAGAAGAAGAAGAAGAAGAAGAAGAAGAAAAGAAGAAGAAGAAGAAGAAGAAGAAGAAGAAGAAGAAGAAGAAGAAGAAGAAGAAGAAGAAGAAGAAGAAGAAGAAGAAGAAGAAGAAGAAGAAGAAGAACAAGAAGAAGAAGAAGAAGAAGAAGAAGAAGAAGAAGAAGAGAAGAAGAAGAAGAAGAAGAAGAAGAAGAAGAAGAAGAAGAAGAAGAAGAGAAGAAGAAGAAGAAGAAGAAGAAGAAGAAGAAGAAGAAGAAGAGAAGAAGAAGAAGAAGAAGAAGAAGAAGAAGAAGAAGAAGAAGAAGAAGAAGAAGAAGAAGAAGAAGAAGAAGAAGAAGAAGAAGAAGAAGAAGAAGAAGAAGAAGAAGAAAACCCTAGGTCTAGGAGCACCTATAGCAAAACTGTACTTGAGAAACTATGTTGTAAAAAAAAATAAAAAATAAATTAAATATTTTACATGTAATAATATTAATGCAATTGTGAGATACATAAAGCTATTTCGTTAATTCTTTATGTTCCATTAATTAAAAGTTAATATGTACATCCAACTAAAAAAACAACTATTACTTTAATTTTTATAAAATTTTATTATTGATTTTAAGTCTGGCGTTTTAAACCAGTTCTTATTCCTTTTTTTTGCCCAATAATAAATACTAGTGTTCGCCCAGTGGTCGAAATTCGACCATAATCATAATTGAAAATTTGAGGAAAACATGTATGCATTTGCAAGTTTCTAACATTTTCTTTTTATTTATATACATTCGTTCATTGTATCTCTGGGATCATAAACTTTTATAATATGTACTTACAGTACACCATAGTTCAGTACTATTATAATTATACAAAAAAATACATTCAATTAAATTACAGCCTAATAAGCATTAATAGCCCAGGACAGGAGGTAAGCCTACTTTTCGAATTTTTCTAAGTTTTTAATTATCTGTACAACCAATATCTACAAATACCCGACCTCCACCTACACTTAGGAGGGGGTGGGGGGCGAATTCGATATTTATCCCCCCTTCTACACTAAGGGGAAGTGAATTGACCTTTTGGGTGAGGGATGAAATTGCTCCGCCTCAAAGTCCAATCCATTCTATCCGAAGTTTATGTTTCTAAGTCTAGCGGTTCTAAATATCTGGGGTGCAGGGAGAAGTGGGATGGGAGGGGAAAGTTGGGCGCTTTCAAGTCGTTTCAAGCAGAGCCTGTGGCCTCGCTAATAATTTTTCCTATTATTTTTTTCTCTCTTACCTTTAAGGCGTAGCAGAGAAGGAGGAGAAGGAAGTTGGAGGAGAAGTATTTTTTTTATTTATTCACATGACTCCATTGTAAAGAAACACGAAAAAAGTGTCTTACGAAATATATAACTAAACGTTTAGCTAGCCCGACAACACAAGTGGTGGTTAAAATGAAATATCATTTTACAGGTAGTTATGCAACTAAAAATGCGTGGAATAGGGGTGGACGATATTTTATATTACAGTAATTTTGTCACTGATACAATAAATACAGTAGTAATTCATGACATTGAAGTCGTGACAAGACAACATGTTATGCTGGATACCGAAAAAAAAGAATTAAATTATAAATGCCCTTATTCCCTTATTAAAATAGATGATGCCATTCGAAGCATAAGTGAAGAACGAAAACTGTTTCGCAAGTTAAAATGTCACTTGTTATTTCAAAATGTATTCAATCGCTCCAAGTTGGACGAATATACAGTTTGTGCGATAAAGTTGGATCCATATGAGATTTTTTTAAATTTACGATTGAATAAAAAATGTCGTAGGGCAATCAAATACAACAATTTTCTGAAATATTTGATTGGAAATACCTACCTACAAAAGAATGATAGTAAATAATTTTTTAATCTAACACAATTTTATAAATAATCAAGTAAAAATTAAAATAAATCGTGTAAGTAACACGATACAAAATTCCGTTTTGTGTAACTTGTTCGTTTTGCGTGACCTCGCTTCGCTCGTCCCGCAAATATTTACATAAAATGAGGCATTTCGTAATTATATATAAATAGCTGTTATATATCGAGGACTGAAAATAACTATTTCCAAATTTTTTTTATTAGCTACCAAACAAGAATTAAATAAAGAAAATCGGTTCACAAACAGAAGAGAAAATGGTACTGAACTATTTTGTCTTTGTCTATTAATATATAGATATAATATCAGCTGGGAATTTTCTCAAGCTTCCCTGTATGCATTTTAAAAGGAATATCAGAAAAAGGCCTTCCATAATTTCAGTTCGAAACTACATTAAAGTCTAGATTATACGGCTTGTAAATTTATGGTGCGAACCAAACAGTAAGATCACTCTTTACTCTCAGATGGTTAAATATTTGTTATAAGTTATTGAGAGGTAAATCTTTCTTCTCCTGGTTATTGAAACGAATTAGATTATACAAAAAGGTTATTTTAGATTCGTTCAATGGCCGATACCTTCTTTTATTCTAGTGCAGCTTGTTAACTTATATTATATATTGGTTACGTTGCGATAAAGATATCTATTAAAAAATAGAAAAACATAAATTTAATTTGGTATGTATTTTGACTTATTTCGTATACCAGTAAAATGCATTTACTTATGTATGAAAGAAGATTGATTAATACTGAATTACAGAAACGAATTATATTCATATTTTTTCCACCTTTCAGTGAAAAACGGATAAGAACGTTTCCTCATTTATAAAAGGGACACATTTTACAACCGATATAACCTAGACAAACAAATATTTTCGTTTTACTGCCACTTTAACATTGGAAGTGACCAAAAAAGGAAAACTATATTTTACATCAGGTTTGTCTAACTAGTAATAATATGAAGTGTAGAATTTTACTACATGTCTTATACTACTCATAAAATAAATATTGTCATTTTCAGTAAGTAAATACTCTTGATAAATTGATTATCAATAAACTTAAAAAAATATTACCAATTTAATTACGCACATGTTTAATAAAAATGGCAATGATGGTAGAAAAATATAATGATTAATAATTACCTGTCTCAGCTTAGCCGGTATTGGTTCAGAGAATCCTTGCTGGAACCATCCAGTGAAAGAACCCACCGCGAGGGCACCTGCCAGCACCAACAGAGTAAAGCACAGAGCGACCAGAAGTCGACCCTGACTAGATAGTACCATCGCCATTTTGCAAGTTTCGTCACATTACATCACCATCACAATATTATTATTATTAATATCACCACTTTTTATGAGCATTTTGAATAGCTTTGGATAAAAAGCGAATAAATTGTTTTATTTTTTAAATTTTGTTGCATCTTGTATTTTTATTGTATTTTTCTAATTTTTTGCGAATAATTAAAATTGGGATAATATGAAGTTATTCACCAAAAATGTTTCCGAAGTAGGTTGTGGAAAAAATTCACGAATGTCGGAGAGTACATTTTTTCGTTTTAAGTGACAGTTTGAATTTAACTCAGAACAGTGCATAGTTATCACGGATATGGCTCGTATTTCTATGTTTATCAGTCACGGTCTACTTTAAGAATAGTTTTTGTGGATCACTGTTTACGATTTATTAACAGAAATAATGATCAGTTTAAATATAAAAAATACAATATTAAGACTAAAATGTATATCATTGGACCAAGTACAAGTCGTACTTCCCAAATAGTATTTCATATCGTAGTTGTCATGAAATAAATAAATAAATTCGATATGGAATACTAAGTATCAGAACAGTACCTAGAGGTTTCTTTTTTGTATAAAGAAACTAATGGAATTAAACCATATTGTTTTTGTTTAATGTACCCTTAAACTTTACCGTGTTTTTTTTTTTAGATTTCTGTGAGCTTCTGGATCTTTAATATAAATTTATTGCATCAACTGAAATAATTTTATTGTTGAAGTGTAAATGACATGTCGGTATTATTAAAAATTAAATGTCATGATGATGGTAATGATAATTGATTTTTAGCAACCAAAATTGCTTAGAAGATGAGTTCAACCTTTGTATGTTTAACCTTTATGTGTACTGTAAGATTATCGTAACATTTTGAAGCATCAAATCTTCTCTATGTACAAATACTTGTCGTGTTTTTTCTTGCTATTTGTAGTAAGGTACATGGGAGGGGGGTGAAAAACATTTCCCAGTGGTGAGAACTGTCGTATGACCTGTTAAATTAATATTAATGTTCCATATTGATGGAGTTTTTCGTTTTTTGCTGGCAATAATATAATTTACTTATAGACGGCTATAATAAAAAAATAATTCCTTTGTAAGCATTTTTTGACGTCCGGTTCTGCTACTGTTGGTGTAAGTGTAGGAATTTCCATACATCGAACAATTTTCCAATGTTTTTATGCTATCGATAGTTTGATTGTTTAAAAAAAAAACTACAAAGGAGCAAGGAAAAACTATAGTAAATGCTTTAATAAAATTTCGATAGTAAAATTTTCTTTGACTTATAAATAAATATATTTTAATGAATTATTTAAAATATTTTGGGCTAGCATACGTCCTCCGCAGCCGATTTCAAATCACATTTTTACTTTTCTATCTGTATACAGATAAAGAAAGTACAGGAATCATGATTTTTTGACCTCGAGTTTTCGACGGATTTTTACGTTTTGGGGTCCCCTGAATCCGTTTTGACTATTTTCGCGAAGATGTTTATGTGTGATTTTGGGAAGAGTCGGAACATCTGGGGGGTACTTTATAGGGGGTCATTTTTATATTTTATTAAATATATCTTCGAAAAAAGCCTGTAATAACTAGATGGGAAAGTCATGTGTTGAACACATTAGATTTTTTAATAAAATAATTTGTAATTTTAACATGCTTTGAACGAACTGCAGTGTTGCTGTTTGTAAACATAATTTTTCAAAAAAAGAAAGGAAAAAGAAATAGTATTATTTTCCTCGTTTTTATATAATTACTATTTTTAAAAATATGGGTACAAAGTTATTATACAAAAGAACAGTTTAAAGTTAAAACTAGAAACATATGCAGTGTTTATTTGAAGAAAGTGTACTTTATTGACAGTATTCAGGCGATCATTATGGGGACAAAACCAAAACTGACATTTTATTAAAAGGTACATTGGTAATATCTTAGAATAATATATTGTAATTATCGCTCTTAATTAAAACAATATTTGTTTTCCTAATCTTCATCTAAAATCAGATGAGAGACAAATAAGATATTATCAAACATTTTATTTAGTAAGATTGTTTTATTTTACACTCTTCGGTCTCCTCGTGCCCACTAATCTCGCGACTAGCCTCTACGGCGTGCTGCGATTATACTAATGTACGGTTAAAATTCCTCCCGTTATACGTGTAATTATTTAAACAGTATTTTTAATAACAGTGGTATCAACTGCTGATAGCCTTTTAGATATATTTTAACTTCGTGTTTTGAACATTGTTCCATTATCTATTAATTATATAAATAATTTTTTTCTTATATTTACATAACATTTTATAGACCGTCAATCTTTACCTTGAGGTAAAAAGTTACACCAACATTCACAAAAATCCACCTTTTCAAAAACAATTAACCCAGCGTTGTTTTACAAAGCAGCGTTGAATAAATTTCCATAAGCATTTCCCGGCTAGGTTTCATATTGTATGATCTTTTGTGTTATTTTAAAAGTTACCTGAAATGGAAAACTTTGCGTGTATGTATTTGTAAGCACGAACTTGATTCCGATCTAACATCCTTAAATTCAGTGAACGGCTTTACTCCATGTGGCATAAAACCTAATTAAATATGATAAGTCATCTCTTTCTTTAACGCGCAAAAATGTAATCAATCGTGCGAAATAAAGAAACTACTTCGATATCGGGATAAATTATTAGAAAGTTTTGTTTATTTTTTATTAACTTTACGATAGGCATCAGAGTAATTCTATATTATAAATGACGATAGAAACAAATATAACAAGAATACATATTTAATAAGACGACAAGTCAAGAATAATATACAAATTTGGTAAATTTTATTTTTTAATTAATTATTTTCATATAATTATCTAACAAATTTTTTTTTTTATTATGTATGCACCTATCCATGCAACCAGCATTTTTATAATTACCTAATTTACTACCAATTTTAAATCTAAATTTCACATACTTCCATTTGTGGCGCATATTATTAACTCTGCTCTATTACTATCACTTTCTTTCCCACATATGGAAATTATTACAAATTGATGATAAAAACTTATGAGCAGGCTAAAACATCTATTTATATGATAAATATTTTTTTGTAAAATTTTTGCTAGCCCTGTGGGGGTGAGTTACGTGGTTGTGATTTAATTAAACATAAATTTGTAGGTATTTATTTTATATTGTGTTTATTAAAACAATTTTTTCGTTCATTAACGCACATAAATACTGAACAATTTGTACCTACATTTCGAATGTGGTCTTGATTCTACGGCAACTAATGTGTACTGCTTACATCTTCGATTTTTGAATCAGAAACTGGCCAATGTACTCCTCGAATGCCCAACCTCACACCATTGGACGTGACGTAGTCGTATTGTTTTTTTTACACTAGTATTAAAAAATTGAGTTTTAGAAATGTTCTAAGTAGTAGATGAAGAAGATGATGATTCGTGTTTTGTTTTGTAACAGAATAGTTACCATGATTCATCAGACCTTATAATTTTATCTTCTGGGAGAACTTTCTCATATAGATAATAGCTTTTAATAATTGCAATATCCAGTATTCCACAAAATAAATGGTGTCACTATTTTTTGGAGCGTCTGTTTATACGTAGTAAAAAGTCAGTCAGCTTCATCAAGGCGCCTCCCACATTGGATCAATATCAATCTACGTACAGTTTTTATGTTTTTTGTTATCCTTTTAAACACATTTGATTGTGTTCATTTCGGTACCATGAAAATTTGACTGAAAATACACCATCCTTTTTTCGCTTTACATGAAAAAGAGCTATATATGGCAATACTTCTTAGTAAAATAATTATCAAAGTATATTATTTAATTTTGTCCCCAGTAACTTTCAGTTAAATTTAAAACCACTTTTCTACCCAATCCAGTTCCATCGAATTTTGTGTATGACATCCTAATTTTTCTCCTGGTATACCTTAAATTACTTTACGTAACCTTTTCTGTCTGCTATAAACCACAAATTTGAAAAAAATCTGAGTAGTTGGTATAAGTTTTAAAATACTGGATTTTCGTCTGCGTTGTGGTCGGGTTGATATGTCCAAAAAAAAGACAGAGAAAAATAGAAAGAGAACAAACTTTCTCTTTTTCTCTCCCTTGATCCCATTTGGTTTCTTTTAGATTAGATTAGATTTAATTAGGACTATGGGCCATGTGGCCTCCCCCACCTCGACCTTTTCAGATCTATTGTGGATATCCTTTAATCATTGTTTAGAGTACCTTGTCTAATGCGGTCTTTTGTAGTAAACTCCATAGACTGGAAAGTAGTTCTCCGGTATAGCTAGTTGCCCTTGGTTTTTCTTCTCCAAGTGTAAGGAATCTCAGTCTTACTAGACCTTCGCAGTAGCACAATACGTGTTCTGCCGTTTCCTCTTCTTCTTGACAGAATCGGCACAAGGCCTCTTCTGTCAGACCGATATTGAACATATGTTTGTTAAGCCTACAATGCCCTGTTAATAGACCTACTAGTATTCTAGTATTTTTCCTATTAAGGCTTAGTAGATGCTCGGTGAGTTTAGACGATGGTCTTTTTAAGAACTTTTTGGCCTGTCTCTGTCCTGGTGAGTTTTCCCACCACTCCTGAGATTTTTTAAACATACACTGCTTTGTGCATGTTCTGATAGTTGTTTTTGTTACACCACAGAAGGGTTCTGGGCCAATAAGAGCATTTGATGCTCCTTCTCGGGCTAGTAAATCAGCCTCTTCATTGCCTTTGTGTCCCCTGTGGCCTGGTACCCACGCTAAGGTTAGTCTGTTTTGACTACCCAGCTCTGTTAGGGCTTTCAAACAGTCCCATACAAGCTTTGAGTGTACCTGCATGGAACTGAGTGCTTTTAACGTCGCTTGACTGTCTGAGTATATGACAATGGTTTTTCCATTTACCTTCTGTCTTAATACTTCTTTTGCGCAGTGATGTATTGCTGCTATTTCTGCCTGGAATACTGTCGCATGTTTACCTAAGCTCAGTGAGATTCCTGTCTTTGGCTTGGTACTATATATACCTACTCCTGAACCTTCATGGGTTTTGGAGCCGTCTGTATACCAGGTGAGATCTGCATGAATAGGAGGT